CTTCAGTCATATTAATTATTGAAATATACAGAGTTATATTCTCTCTCTCTCTCTCTCTCTCTCTCTTAGTTTCTTTATTCTCATAACATGGTATCAGAGCCAGAGGGGGTAGCTTAGGTGGTTCACATGGTATATCACCATGCTCAGCATGATATAGGGCTTAGGTGGTTCACATGGTATATCACCATGCTCACTATGATATAGGGATAATACCCCCTCTCAAACTTAAATAGGGTGGAAGATAGAAACCTATTTGAGGTTGAAACAGAGGGAAAGTCAGAGTGGAGCAGATTGTAGATGTCTCCGGACGTCTCGGGAAAAATCCTGTTTTGTCCATTGGGCTTACTACAGTTTGGACTCAATGTCACGGTTCTTAATCTGATCTCGCAAAATGCAATACGAGATTGATAAATCACCAAAGAGTCCAAATCCAGAAAATCATTTTGAAAAACTGATTTTTAGAAAGAAGTGCCAAACATGGACTGCTTTGCCAGATACAGAGTCGCCACCTAAATATTTTATTTTGGGGAAATTTAGGAAACCCTGACTGGTGCCTAAGGCCACGTGTCTGTCATCACCAAAGTTGCCTCGGTTCGGGAACTTGGGTACGATTGGGGAAGGTCATGCAATGAGCACCCCCGCTCGCCCGATCCACTACTAAACATGATATCTTGTTTTTGAAAACATATGTGCTCTTATTCTGGTTTATTAGCCTAGAATTGCTACATGATGCGCACAACATACAAGTATAGACTGGATCGCCTAAGTTGGAACAAAACATCTCATGTGTTGTTTTTGAAAGCGGTTTGCTACTCGTAAGTAGGCTAAAATGTGGGTTTTGCCACCCTCGAGTAGGCTTAGAAAACATGGTGATTTGCCACTTTCAAGTGGGCTAAAAAGTCGCAATCGATGAATTGTTCCAATTTAAATAATCCAACCTTCACCCATAGGCATTTAGGTAGGTATATCACATAAGCAGTTAGCCTCATGGCAAGCATGCTATCATGGCAGTCACTCACACACATGCAAGGATACTAAAGCATAAACACTCGCCGAGTACTCCAAGCCAAAACAGAAACTAGTTAGTAATCAATGCATGATCCTAGTTCATGTTAAGATGGCTAATGCAACACATGCAAAATTCAACTAAGATAGGCTCGGCTATTCTAAGATGGCATATGAGATACTACAGATAACATGTATTCGACTCGGAATTGAAATACAATGCAGTTAGTATGATGCACCGAGCCCGGTGCATGCAAGACAGATGAATGAATGCAAACATGCGAAGCATAAGGATGCTAATCGAAACATGCCCTAAAAATAACCATCGAAAGTAGGTAAGTAAAAGGGAGAAAGACGTGGGGTTGGAAGACATGCATTACACACACGCACACTTATTACAAAATTCGCCCTCTCGACGGAGGGTCCAAATAAATAATACAGAACCAGCTAGCTAATCTAAGCTAATCTAATTAAACTAGTTATTACACGACGAAATGAATAACAAGTTACAACTACTTATTACACAACATTAACTAAGTAAGCAATCTAAATGAGCATGCAAACTAAATGAATGTGGGCTGCCCTAGCTCTGCTTTGAATGATAAAGGATGCATGCATGCTAGAGTCGCCTTGTCAGGAAATCCATCGCGATGCCCCGGCTTGCCTTTGTTTGCAATTGATTTCAAAAATTTGCACAAAGCTCCAGAGAGATGAAACTCCACCCCGGGAAACTGTGGGAAGGCTGCCGACCAGCTTATAGGCATGGGAGACCAACTACCGACCACCTTTTGTGGTGGAAACCAAAGAAGGTGGTCGGCCTGCCAGAAAACCTGGTCGGCCGACCAGTTTCTTCTCCTGGATTCTGTTTTTCTGCAACAAAAGGAAAGAGAGAGGCACGACAAGGTATTTGCAACACATGTGTGCACGACCACTCTCCCCGTCATTGCATAAGCTCTAGGGCGTGTAGTCCTCGACCCTCGGGCGATCGGTCGTGCATCTCGATGCATGATGGCCGAGGAGTCGAATTGCACGACTCAATCTGAAATGAATGCACATACAAGCACCTAAAGCCAACAACTCCGTCATGGGTAGTCAAGAGTGTCGGTGACCGAGAATCGAGGCACGTTTCGTCTCTTTGAGTACGAAACATCCCTCGTTTCCCATGTTCGGACTAACTCCTATTCCTAACACAATGCAACAAACAATGGCATGCACAATGCGACTTTAAGTATGCAACCTAAATGCTATGCAACTAAATGATGCAAACATGCAAAGGATGACACGCAAACATGCAACTAGCATACACAATGCTATGAACTAACAATGGCATACTCAATGCACGTGATACTTAGCATACACAATGCACCTAAGAACTAACATACACAATGAGATGAACAAGGCATGCACAATGCAATGATCAATCATGCGACAATGTGGCATACTCAATGCTATGGAATACAGTGGCATACTCAATGCAAAAATGGACTTAAACCAAAATGAATGGGCCTCAGCCACACCCAAATCAGTGGCCAAACATGATGAAAACAAGACTCCAAAACTCATGCTAGCATACATAATGCAAGGACCTAAGCCCAAGGGCACTAAATGCAACTCTACAAAAGCATTGAAAATATGAAATAAGGCATACAATGACACATGTTCCAGCTCTGAAGTGACATACAAAATGGCTCTGAATCATGCAAAAAACTCACGCAATGCATGTTGAAAGGCTCAAGTACCGAAGCTAGTGAAGCACATTACACTAGAGGCATGCAAGGCGATGCTCAAATGACAAAACCAACTCTAAACAGACCTTAAGCAGGCCTGAAATAGTGGCAAAATGAGCCAAGATGGTGGCTTGAAAGGCATAAGGATGAAGCTCAATGCAAAGGCTCATAAATGGGGTATAATGATGCAACTCTCAAACACATTTAAAGAGTGACAAACATGAGAATATGGCCAAGAAATAAACTCTGAAATATCATGCTCAATGATGCTAAAACATGCAAACACCTCAAGTTAAGCATGCAAGGGGATTCAAAACTCAAGGCTAAGCAAGGCTATTACACTACAACCATACATGGCAAGCATCATTCGACCCAGGGACCTCAAAACAGAGCTAAGGCAGCCCAAACTATGAACAAAATCAGTTTGGAGCATGGCCAAAATATGCTAGCATAGAAGGCCAAAACAACATGCATTATAAGCTAGTGAACATGATTTACACTACAAGCATGTGAAGCATATGAGAGGCTACCAAACCAGCCAAAAACAGAATCATGGCATGCCAAATGATGGCCAAAAAACCACTGAAACATGAGCAATACATGCAAGAATGAGGTGTTACTTTGATAGGCTGTGCAAGGGATTGTTCTACACATGCAAGAGGCAAACAAAAGGTGACCAAACCAGCCATAGATAGAGTCTAGGCAGGTCCTAAAAGTCACTAAAAAGGGCCTGAACCAAGGCTAGGAAGTGTGGAAATATATGCTCCCTTGGAAAGCCAAAAATGCAAGCAAACAAGGCCAAAAGAGAGAGGGTCACCCCTCTCTGACTTTGGCCCTCAAAACCACATGCCAACCACTGAAAATCCACTGGATTTTAGTGGCTAAAGGGCCAAGCAAAGGTCAATACAAAGGTCTCATGGCATGGCTCAAAACAAGGCTCAATAGAGCATGCAAGAGGGTAGATGACCCCCAACACCAAAAGAGCCTTAAACAAACATGAAAATCACTTAAATATGAACCTTTTTTTAGTTGACAACAAAGCTCAAATAAGCATGCAAATGAGGCTAAGAGAAGGATCAAAATAATGCATAAAAGAGGGAAAAGTGATTACCCTAGAAGCTCAGCAAAACCAGCAAACTTTGGAATCAAAAACCATCTCTTTAACCTTTGAAAACAACCTCCAAGAACCTCAAATCAATGGTGGAAGTGTATGCCTATGAGGTGTAGTGTAAAAGGGTCAAGAACAATGTACCTTATGAGCCAAAATATAGAGATATAGAGAGATGTGTATTGTTTTGCCTTAGAGAAATTCTGAACCTGGTTCAAGGAGGGAGAGGGCCTCTCTTGTAGACAAACAGGGCCAAAGCTTCTTCAAGAAGCTAAAAACAAGGCTCAAGATCCTCCATACAGATACAGTCTATGCCTTCCAACTGGCACAGCTGGCACCCACTCAAACAGACAAAATAGGAGGGAGCTGGCCAACCAGAAAAGGTGGTCAGCCAACCACTTTCCCTGGTCGGCCGACTAGGGTAAGTGGTCTCCCACACAAAAAAGTGGTCGATGGCTCCATTTGGTGGTCTCCACTTTGAAAGCAAGCTAGTGGTGTGGTGGAAGACCAGCAAATGTGGCCCAAAGACCAAGAAAACTAGCTTCCCGACAAGAAAATTGGCTGGTGGGGAGAAAGTGGTCTCCAAGGAGAAAAGGTGGTCTCCCACCCTTGTACCACCTCCCAAACAATGAAAACAAGGTTCATGCCAAAAATGAACCAACACAGATGCAAAACGAGAGCTCAAGGGGCAAAGCGCGCGGCCGGGTGCCCCGAAAACTGGCTGTTGAGCACCAAAAGTGGCGTACGACCACAAAAGTGGTCTCCCGGACCACAGTGTCCCTCTAGACAGAGGAAACAAGGTGTGTTCCAAAAATCGTGCCAAACGGAGAATGTTAAGCGGTCCTGAGCCGAGGCGCGCTACCGACGGCTCGGAAAATTGGAAACAAGTCTCCAAACGGGAACAGTGGCCTACGACCACGAAAAGTAGCCTACGACCACGAAAAGTAGCCTACGACCACTGAGATATGGTCTACAAGACCTCTCCCTCCCTTCGGGAAGAGAAAACTAGACCTGGTCCGCAGATCGAGTCAAGGCACAAAAAGTTCTGAGGCTCGGAGGGTAAGGCTCTCAGCCAAAACTCCGAAACTTCAGAACGAGCACAACATGCACCATCACCGAGCGCTCAATCGATGATGTTTGAGTCTTAAGGTCGGTCAAAAATGGGGTGTCTACACAGAGCTCTAAGGGGTATAGTATTTTTGGTGGCTAAGGATAAGCGCTGTTGTCTTTACTTGCAAAAAAAGATTGAGGAGGCTAACCCTGAGGGGACTGCGATGTTGTTCTTCGAGCTTAAAGATCATGTTCGCGAGTTAATGGTACATCATCAGTTTGGGAACTCTCTCATTTAGAAATCTTTTGTAGTTTGTAATTCAGATCAGCATACTCAAATTCTTCTTTTGGTGATTAGTGATGAGTGTTACTTCATGACTATATGTTGTGACACATGAAACTCATGCAATGTAGAAATTGCTAGAATATCTAACCACCCAAGAGCAAAAATACAGACTTATGTTTGTTCTAGGGTGGTTCACTGTCCACTTGACCAATCACATGAATGGTAATCACGTAATTCAATATTGTTTGAAAATCTTCTCTAACGAGGATAATATGCATATTCTACATGAATTAGCTGATAACTATCTAGACAGCCACAGAAAAATCAAGGTGTTGTGTGTTGCACCACTGTCTTGCACATTCTCAGGGAGAACCTGTCAATCGTCTCGTTGCTAAAATTGCTGCCAACACCCTTGTCCTCTCTGAAAGTCATTATGGGAACTATGTTCTGTAGTTTATACTAGGAATGAAGGAACCATATGTAAGACATGCCAAAACAAACATATTTGCACAACTTATGGGAACTATGTCAGCCTCTCCTTTAATAAATAAAGCAGCAATGTGGTGGAGAAGTGTTTGAAAGAGGCTAGAGAAGATCAAACCGCGCAAATAACTAAGGAGATCATTAACAGTCCCAATTTCTTGATGCTTGTTCAAGATCCTTATGGGAACTTGTAGATGTCCCCGAACGCCCCGGGAGGATGAGTCCCGTTCTGTTCATATTGGGTTCACTACAGTTCCGGACTCTCAAATTGTCACGGTTCTTAATCCGAACCAAAGAGTCCAAATCCGGCAAATCGTTTTGGAAAACAGATTTTTAGAAAAGAAGTGCCAAACATGGACTGCTTTGCTAGATACAGAGTCGCCACCTAAATATTTTATTTTTGGAAATTTAGGAAACCCTGACTCAGTGCCAAAGGCCACATGTCCGTCATCACCAAAGTTGCCTCGGCTCGGGAACTTGGGTACGATTGGAGAAGGTCAGCTATGAGCACCCTCTCTCGCCCGATCAAAGATCGGCCTCTACTAACCGTGATATCTTGTTTTGAAAGCATTATGTGTTCCTATTCCAGTTATTAGTCTAGAATTACTATGTTATGCGCACAGCAAACAAGTATAGACCAAATCGCCTAATTTGGAACAAATCATCGCATTTCCGTTTATTTGGAAAATGGTTTGAATTTTGCTACTCGCGAGTAGGCTAAAATATGGATTTCGATGAATTATCCCAATTCAAACAATCCAACGTTCGCCCACAGGCACTCATTCAGTAATATCACATAAGCACATAGCCACATGGTAAACATGCTGTCATATTAACATTCACACTTATGCGAGATGCTAAAGCATAAATACTTACATCGTACTCCGTGCCAAAATAATGAACTAGTTAGTAATCATGCATGATCCTAGTTCATGTTAAAGTGGCTAATGCATCACATACAAAAATGTCATTAGAATGGGCTCGGCTAATCTAAGGATGACATGTGAAATACGAGAAATTGATGCACGTATTCAAGTTTGGAATTGAAATACTATGTGGTTAGCATGATGCGCTGAGCCCGGTGCATGCAAGGCTGATGAATGATGCATGCATGCATAGCATAAGGTATGCTAAATTAAACGTGCCCTAATACTAACCATCAAAAGCAGGTAAGTAAAAGGGAGAAAGAAGTGGGGGTTGGAAGACATGCACACACGCACCCACACTTATTACAAATTCTCCCTCTCCCTCGCTCGAAGGGACCAGAAGAATAATACAGATTTAACTAACCTACAAGCTAATTAAATATTACAGACTACCCAATTAATTAATAAATCAATTAAGTAAAGAAAGCGATAAAATGCCTCGGGAAGAGGGTCCAATGCATGCGTGCTTGGATTTGCTCGGAAACCCGTCGCCATGCATAAGTTGCCTCTGTTTTCCCTGCTCTGCTCCTCTGAAAATTGCAAAAGTCCCAGGGACCACTCTATGGACACTGTGGAACACCACCGGCTAAGACAAATGGTCACCGACCATGGCAGGATGGTCATCGACCATTGATTGAGCTCTCGGCCACAAACTTTTGGTCGATCGGCACTCTATGTAGTCGACCGGCCATCTTTGTCTGCAGAAACCTGTTTTGATAGCAGCAGAGGGCAAAACATGGCATGGCAATGCATTTCAAGCAATGTTTGCACTAACCACACTCCTTATCATATTCATGACTCAAAGGAGCATGGTACTTGATTCTCGGACCACCAATCGCGCATTTCAATGCGTGATGGCCCAAGGAACCAAGTTGTGCATTTTCATTTCAAATGTAATGCAAACCAAACAAACAAATAAGGCCTAACTTCTATCATACTCTATTCAAGAGGCAAGGCATGCATGTCAAATACAACCTAAGCATGCACTCTAAACATGCAACATGAGCATGCAAATGAACATGCAAGGATGCAACTAACAAGCATGCAAAGTGTAATGTCAACATGCACACATGCAAGGCATATAACATGTTAGACAACTTAACAAGAAATGCATGCCAAACGCAACACTATTCAAGCATGCAACAACATGTCATGAACCAAGTATCTAAACATACAATCATGCATGCAAACATGGTTCGACACTTAAGCACAAAGAGGCAACTTTTAAGCACACTTAAAAGGAGATAAACATGGGCATATAGCAAGCATGCTAGGCTCTGAAATTGCGTGAAATAGAGGTGCCAAACCAACTAATTAAAGCAAGCAAAGCATGCAACCAAAGTAAAAACTCAAGGCAAGCCAAAGATGTATTGAACTACACTTAGAAAAATCAAACATGACATGATTTCAACAACCAAAATAAGAGTCTTAGCATGTTAAAACAAAGCCAAAAACACATCTAGATGGCATCTAAATGGTCTAAACATGCAAGCATACAAAAGAGGCCAAACATGGAGCATAAGATGACAACCTTATAAAGCATTAAAGGGACATCAAATGCAAGCATACAAGCATGCCATGAGGACTGAAATGATGCTATAAGTGGTTCTAAGCCACTGAAACGATGCAAGGATAGCATGCTAGGGGGTCCGATACTTATGACCTACAAGAGGGATTACATGGTAGCTATACAAAGAAAATCATGGATGACCCAAACAACCAAAAACAATCCTCAAGCACACTAAAACATGCATAAAAGCTTTACAAAGCTAAGCCAAAACAAGTAAGCATAGTGGTCTAAATGCTAGATACATGTTAAGGCAATTTCATGGCATTGCAGGACAAGTATGCAAAGCAAGCATGGTGTGTCTAAACCAAGTAAAAACAGTGCTATATCATGAAAAAATAAGCACAAATAACACTTAAGACATGGCCAACATGAACTTAAAATGGATGCTCACACATGAGGCAAAAATGGCCCTTTTCAAGGACAACAAGGAGAGGGGGTGGCCCTCTCCTTCTTAGGACCCCAAGGCACCATCCTCACCACTAAAATCCCTCAAGATTTCAGTGGTGAGGAGGCCCAAACAAGGTGGTCTCGGAGCTCACCCAAAATAGCACAAAATGGGGCCAAACAAGCCCTAAGAAGGGTCAAATGACCTCCAACAACAAAACACTCTTAAACAACTATTTAGAGCAGGAAAAAACAAGACTTTTATGTGTTATACACAGAGTCTAAAAAAGGTTGCAAGATAGGCCAAAAGACTATGCAAATATGGGGTAAAAAGGGCAAGAATCTTACCCTTGTTGACCCTCTTCAGGAATGATGCTCCAGCAGCTTCTTCAAACTCAAAACCACCCAAAAACACCAAGAACAGCCTTCTGGTCCCTCAGCAACCAAGAGAAGGTGTAGGACTAGGTGTTTGTGTGCAATAGTAAGACTAAACACACACACAAGGCAAAAAAGAGGGAGAAATAGAGATAGAATAGATATACTATGCTAACCCTAGAACCAGAGCTCCCTTGGGATTTTTTTCTAACCCTAATGGAGGGAGAAGAGGCTCCCTCTTATAGAGCTCACTCTTGTAAAGCTTCTCAAGTAAGCTAGTCAAGGGGGAGGTGTATGGAGGGGAGCAAAGTGTATGCCAGCTAGCACAGCTGGCATAAAAATATCTGCAAAAGCAGATGAACAGTGGTCGGCTAGCCAAAAATGCAATTTGACCAAAATACATGGTCGGTCGACCATCTAGAGTGCCGGTTGGCCAAACATTTGGCCGATGGCAACAAAACACAGTCGGTGGCCTCAAGCCATAGCCGGTGGAGTGTGGGGATGGCCAACAAGCCATTCCCTGCCCTCCAAAGCAAAAACACAAGTGTTTGGTACGAGACCAAACACAAAACAGTCGAGTCGAGAGATCTTGAGGCAAGGCACGTAGCCGAGACCTCCAAGAACTCAAGACGAACACAAACAAGGATGATCACCGAGTGTTCAAACGGTGACGTCCGATTCTTGAGGACGTTCAAAAATTGGGTGTCTATAGTTGCCCCTCTTTGACAAAACTCGAAAGTCATAAGGATGACGGGAGTGAGTGTCAAAGCCCAGAGACGACCCATTTTTGACAAGGCCGAAGACTTAGACAAAGCATGCAAGACAATGAAGATATGCACCCGAAGGTAGGGGCAAAATGCAACTGATAATGCAAGAAGCCGAACATAACTTATGATCATGCAAAGAAAGCTGTAACGAAGCATAACATGTGCCTGTTTTAAGCTAGCAAACACAAATCCAACTACATTACAATGCAGAAAGGATGTAAGAGAATTATGCAATTCTCGATACGTCTTACTCGAAGAATACAATACCTGTGCGGTTCGTCTGGTCGCACTAGCTTCAAATGAACCGTACATACAATATCGTGCCTGAAAGAGAAAGAAAACTCAACAGGTACAATATTGTTAGCAACATGCATAACATGCAAAATGAATGCAAAATGATATGTGATATATACAAAACTATGTATAATAATGCAAATGAAAATGCAATGCAATTGAATCATGATCAAATCATGAGCAGTTCAAAATCACACAAATGTCAAAAGGATGATGGAGATGCAAAGTCCGTCTACCATAGAAAAGGTGCCGCAACCCTCAAACCAACATACCGGCGTTGAATAGGTGCGTACATATGCAGAACTATGAGTGATGTCAACGGACACAAGAACAAGTAATTGGGTGGAATGACATAAGTGGGGAAATGTCCCGCTGAGGAAAGATCATGACCTTAATGCTGGATGCAAAAATTACACTACAATGTAATACATACAGTGGATATGGCATGCAGTCGAACCAAATCTTGCCTAGGAAAGGCATGTACACATACAAGCCATGTCTAACACAGATACGGTGCCGTCATCCTCAAACCAACATACCAGCGTGGAATAGGTGCGTACACATAATATCATAACTGTGCTTCGACGTGAAAGATATGGGCACATACCAGACCAAGCTCAATCATAGAAAGGCGCAAGCCATAGATGGAGGAGGATGCAGTGGATGCATGCAAGCTACAATGCAATATATACAATATGCACTGGATGGAATTGATGTACAACGCATTATATACAATGAATGCTATGTACAATGCGATCTTCCGGGAAGAATGCAATGGATGCAAATATAGTATTCACAGCGGATAAGGCACGCGACCAAACCTTGTTTTGCCTAGGAAAGGCATGCACGCATACAAACCAACGGTTTAACACAAAAACGGTGCCGTAACCCTCAAACCAACATACCAGCGTGGAATAGGCGCGTACACAAAAGTCCCAGATCTGTGTTTCAACGCGAAAAGTATGGGCACATACCAGACCAAGCTCAACCTGGAAAGGCACAAGCCGTAGGTGGGAGTGATGCAATGAACGTATGCAAGCTACAATGCAATATATACAAATATGCAATGGAATGGAATATATACAGTGGATGCATGGCATATGCAGTTTATATAGTGTAATGCATGACATATGCAGTATATACAATAATGCATGACGTATGCACTATTTACAATGATGCATGACGCATGCAATATATGCAATGATGCATGACATATGCAATGTTTATGACGAAATGCATGACAAATGCATGAAAATGCATGATAATGCATGCTATTTACAGTGCATGACATATGCATATATTTTTTTTTTGTTTTTTGAAATGCAAATGATGCAGAGTACACTGTAAGTTTTACGCTTTAGCATACTGCATGAGATGTGTATGTTGCCATGATCGCATGCTTGCCATGAGGCTATGTGCTTATTTGATAAAACTGCATGAATGCCTGTGAATGAAGGCTTTATTACTTGAATTGGGATAATTCATCAAATGTGAGTTTTAAACCCGCTTTGTGAAGTGGCAAAATCATGTTTTAAAGCCCACTTGAGGGTGGCAAATCCGCACTTTAGCCTACTTGCGAGTAGCACTTTCAAACCATTTTCAAAAACAAACATGAGTTGTTTTGTTCCAATTCTCGTGACTGAGTCTATACTTGTATGCTATGCGCATCACATAGTAAGTTAGATTAATAACTGGAATAAGAACACATGTGTTTATCAAACAATATATCGTGTTTAGTAGAGGCCGATCCTTTGATCGGGCGAACGGGGGTGCTCATTTCAGGACCTTCCCCTCTCATACCCAAGTTCCTGAGCCGAGGTAACTTTGGTGATGACGGACACATGGCCTTTGGCACGAGTCAGGGTTTGCTAAAATTCCTAAAAACAAAATATTTAGGTGGCGATTCTCTAATCTGGCAAAGTGGTCCATGTTTGTCCCTTTTGATTCAAAAATTGATTTTCCAAAACCAATTGTCAGATTTGGACTCTTTGGTATGTATCAGTCTCACATTGCACTTTGTGAGATTAGATTCAGAACCGTGACAGGAGTCCGAATTGTAAGACGACCAATTCGCGCCCTCTCCAAAAGGGGTGGAGCGCGAATAAAGTCGGGTCTACACCTTGGCACGAGTCATGGGTTTCCTAATTTTCCAAAAATATTAGGTGGCGACTCTGAGATCTGATGACACAGTCCATTTCGGGCAAAAAGTTTTACAATAAAATGGATTTTCTAAAAATTGCCAAATCTGGACTCTCATCTATGTTTCACATTGCACTAGTGAGACTAGATCAAAGAGATCGAGGGTCCAAACTGTTTAACGCGCACGGGTACCCTCCAGGCGTGTTACAAATATAAGATGATCTGTTTCTGAAATATTATTTTCTATATGAATGAATGGTTGTCCAATGTTTCTGAAATGTATTCGTGGCATTCTTAGCTTCAGATAACATTTGTTATCTGTTCTGTTACGTCCCAATTATGGGTCAACTGTACGTCTCATGAGCCAACTGTTATGAATCCTTATGTATACGTCCCATTTATGGGCCAACTATATGTCTCATGAGCCAACTGTACCGTCTCCGTGCACGTGAGTAAACTGTATGCCTTTATGGCCGTCTCTTTATGGGTTAACTGTATGCCTTTATGGCCGTCCCTTTATGGGTCAATTGTTTCCGCTAATGCTAATGAATGTACTACGTATGATTAATTGCAAATTCTGATTATGAATATGATTCTGAATCCGTATCTGTTATGAACTATGATTTCTGAACATGATTATGAATCTATTTCGGATAACTACCGAATTCTGTATTCTGTAACTGTTATGGACAACATTCATTTGACCTCTTTACTCTGTTATTATTCAATGGGCTCCAGCTCACTATTTATGTTATGTATGCAGGTGATCAGGCACGTGACTAGGCCTAGAGTTGATGGCCTAAGATTCCGTTTTGTGAGCCACTCTTTGTGCCTCCCTAGGAGGTTGCAGATCAAGTTAAGCCTTGTGGCCTTATTTTACGAACATTTAAAAACTTTGTTTTCTTTTTATTTTTGAACAAGTTTTTGGTTATCTGTAAAAGGGGTGACGTAAAATTTCTGTATCTATGTGACGTCACATATATGTTTATGTGTTTAAAAAAAAAAAAAAAGACAAAATTTATTTTGTCCCATGTATGTCTGCACAGCTCAGTGGACGTTGTTTGTATATTTGCTTCTGCAGCCTCTATTTATATGTTATTCTGTTTAGAAGCCTTTGGTAATCCAATGATTACTAGCCGGTTGCGACGCTAAACCTATAGGGGCGGGTTTGGGTCATGACAGGTGTTTTCAAAACCTTATTTATTTTTCTTTGAAAAGCTTGAAATAAGCTTGGGGACTTTGTCCCACATTGGAAAAAGAGCAAAACATTGAGCACTTAATAAAGTGCTACATGGAATATTCTTTTGAATATGGTATTGTGGGATAGATGCAAGTGTACATGCACTCACACCGTAAGAATAGTGCACCATCCGCACACGCACTTTGCATGGACAAGTTGAAGTGATGACGTGGATCCAACGTGGCATAGGTGACGTGGAATACAGTCAGCTCCACATGGCAGTGATGTGGCATCTATTGGCGATGAGTCAACCAACTGATTGAACAGTTATGTGTTCGATTTGGAGCGGTTTGATTATAGTCGTTGATTGGAGATACACGCGATCATACGGATAAGATGGCACCCGATCGTGATCAAGTATGATCTGTCAAGGCATCTATTCGGTGTGAGAATGATCTGCATCATAGATAGTCGATCCAACGGTCAGATCTGATCAGATGCGATCAAGAGACATCTATTCGATCAGATGCATCAAGGCCTATAAATAGGCTGTGAAATTAGCCATTTTAATCCATCAAAAAATTCAGAAAGTATTCCTGCAATTATCTCTCTCTCTCTCTCTCTCCTTCTTGATTTAGAGTTTTCGATCAAGAGTTTTTTAAGTAAGTTTCTACTTTCCTTATTGGTAATTTTGCAAACTTGATTGTCAATGTCTTGGTTTTTCTTGATTATATCAAGAGTATTCTGATCTACTATCGTACGCTGGTAGACTTGATCTTTAGATCAGGCTTCACTGTGTGCTAGAGACGAATTTGCTGTAACCCCATACACACCTTTTGTGGGTGTAAATATTATCTTTAGGAAATCGACCAAGTAACACGACTTGAAGCATCAAATTTTTGTTCTACATAGACAAGATCATCGCCAAGTTTTAAAGACTCGAAGACCACCACCTGAAGAATTCAAGATGAATTGTTTCAACACACATTATGTTCAACCCTAAAAATCTAACAGTTAGAAAGGTAACTTTGGATAACTAAATTAACAGATCAAATTATAGTATATTGATGAAAAGTAAATAGTCATGTCAAAGCTGAGAGGCCTCCTGTGTGCCATTTAAAGCCACCATTTACAACTATAGCAATTCATTTCATCGTCATTTGTGTGCTTCACCATAAGTTAAAATGAGAATTATTTTCATTACCTGGCTTTCTCAAACAACACACTTACTATCTTCTGCATAAGCTCCATTCCAGTCTATAGCCAATGTTTGGAGGATCAAAGATCATTGTTGCTCCAATTGAAGAATTGCCTCAAATTTAATCGAATTATTTCTGACAAATTAGTGAATTGGACCCCAAACAGTGATTGTTGTGGTTGGAAGGGTGTAACTTGTGGTCAAGTTGGTCTCAACCTGAACAGTGAATTCATCTCTGGTGGAATCGACCAGCCAAGTAGTCTTGTCAGTCTTGAGAGCCTGAATTTGGCTAACAACAGCTTCAACTGGAAACAAATTCCATCCAGTTTCAGCAACCTTATTAGTCTGAAATATCTGAATTTGCTGGGTTGATTCCGATTGGATTGTCTTGCTTGAACAGGTTGGTTACTCGTGACCTATCTACTCTTTGCTTCCCCGGATCTTTTTTCTTGGATGGATACCACCCTGGAACCCCTACACTACAACTTGAGAACCCAAATTTATTAACGCTTATTCAGGACCTCACGGGTTCTAGAAATCTCTATCTTGATGGCATAATTATATCAGCTTATGGGAGTGAATGGTGTCAGGCCATTTCTTCTTCATTGCCTAATCTTCTAGTTTTGAACATGTCCAATTTTTATCTTTCTAGCCCTATTGATTCTTCTCTTCTAAAGCTTCAGTCTCTGTTTGAGATCCTTCTGGGTTCTAACAATCTCTTTGTTCCAGTTCCAGAGTTCTTTGTGAATTTTCACAAATTTGACAACTTAAGTCTCAGTCATTCCAACTTGTATAGACAATTTCCTGAAAAGATTTTCCATGTACCAACGCTGCAGACCCTAGACTTGTCAGACACCATAAAGCTTCAGGGTTCTTTGCCAGAGTTTCTACAAAATGGATCCCTTTAGAACTTGGTATTTTTCAACTCAAATTTTTTAAGCAGATTACTAGATTTTATTAGTAACCTGAGAAATCTATCCAGGATAAATCTTTCACATTGCAATTTTAGTGAAACCATTCCAAATTCAGTGGCAAACCTCAGTCAACTTGTTTATTTGGACTTATCATCTAACAACTTTAGTGGTCTAATCCCATCCATTCAAATGTCCAAGAATCTCACCTACATAGATCTCTTTCATAATGCTCTAAGAGGTCCAGTTCCTTTCACTCACTTGGATGGCCTTTCAAATCTTGGAAATATCCATTTAGCATACAATTCATGCGGTGGGAGTATTTCCTCGTCTCTGTTTTCCCTTTTATCGCTGCAGAAAATTCAACTTTTTGACAACCAAATTGGTGGTCAAGTTACTGGATTTCTAAAATCCTTGTCTCATTTGAATACACTAGATTTGAGTAGTAACAAACTGGAAGGGCTTATTTCCACATATTTCTTTGATTTTGGAAGGCTTAATATCCTCTCACTTTCTTTCAACAACTTCAGTGGCACCATACAGCTTGAATGGATTAAAAGCCTACAAAATCTTACAAGACTTTACCTTTCATACAACAAATTGTCAATCAATGCAAGTGGCAGTAATTCTGCCTTGTCTTCCTTTCCTCAGCTTGGCATGTTAAGATTGGTTTCTTGCAAATTGCAAAAAATTCCTCCACTAATGGACCAATCAAGAATTTTCCATTTAGATCTTTCAGACGACTAAATTTTTGGGGAAATACCTAATTGGATTTGGAACATTGGCAATGAAAATATAGTTGTATCTGAATCTTTCTTGTAATCTCCTAGTGAGTATGCTGAGACCATATACTTTTCCTAGTCTTAATATCCTTGATCTACACTCCAATCAGGTCAATGGTGAAATCCCAATACACTAAAACTACTTGTCTAAGTGGACTACTCGAGCAATAATTTCAATTCTTCTATCCCCGTTGAAATTGGCAAAAACCTAACCTCAGCTGTTTTCTTCTCTCTTTCAAATAATAGCCTAACTAGTGCCATCCCTAAATCAATATGCAATGCAACCAACCTTTTAGTTCTTGATTTGTCCAGCAATAGATTAAGTGGCACCATACCGCAATGTTTGATTGAAGGTTTTTCTGCAATTCTTGGGATACCAAATTTGCACAATAACAATCTTATCGGTAATATTTCAGGGACATTCCTTGGAAATTGTTCTTTAAAAACACAAGACTTCAATGGGAATCATTTGGAAGGATAAGTTCCACAATCTCTGGCCAATTGTGCAAAGTTAGAGGCTTTAAATCGTGGTAACAATGATATAAATGATATCTTCTCTTGCTTCTTGAAGACCTCATTTCATTTGCGTGTTCTAAATTTGCGATCCAACAGAAGGAGGCATTCGATGTGGAGGGGACCATAATAACAGCTGGCCAAAGATTCAAATCATTGACCTAGCTTTGAACAACTTTAGTGGTCTTTCGCCAAACAAATGCATCTTATCTTGGAAGGCAATGGTTGATGGAGTAAAAACACAATCAGATTTCGATCACCTTGGTTATGAGTTCCTAAACCTTAATCACTTTTACTATCAAGATACAATGACAGTTACCGTGAAAGGGCAACAGTGAGAGCTGGTGAAGATCTTAACTACATTTAAATCCATTGATTTCTTAAACAATAATTTCGAAGGAGAGATACCCAATATAGTTGGGGGTTTGTGTGAGAATATTATGTAATTATGGAAATTGTGAGAATGTGTTCTTTTTTTCTTATAGGATTAGGAATTAGTGTCTTATATCTATTAAATTTCTATATATCGGACAAGGGGTCACTGCTGTGCGTGAAGCACAGCAGTGACTGTGGTGCATCTATTTAGGGCCGTCCATTTTGTAGGATTTGTTGAGTACTTCATGCCTACCAAAAATCATATTAATCGGATATCAACAACTATATGATCGAACTGCATATTATTTATGTTATTTCTCAAAATAAAACTTATTATTTATTTTTTTGATTACCGATCATATAGTTTTTGATATCCGATTAATATGATTTTTGGTAGGCATGAAGTACTCAACAAACCCTACAAAATGGACGGTTTGGATCATAAAAATAAAGCTATAATACACCTCAAATGGAGGCACCACAGTCACTGCTGTGCTTCATGCACAGCAGTGACCCCTTATCCCTATATATCAGTGATGTATTCATGTAGGATTAGGAATTAGTGTTCTATATTATAATAAAATACAAGTATGGACCGAAGTATAAATAAAACAAATTAGGGCTTCAAGTGTAAATACCGAGAACCAACAGAATATAAGAGAAATCAAGTGAAGCTGAGCCAGAGAGGCTTTGTTGAAAACGACACCACCGAGAGAGAAATAGAGCAGACCTTCGCGAGAGAGATACAGAACAAAGTCAAAGAACAAAAGATGACTCGAAGGCCCAGAAGAGAGTGGGCCCTTACTGCCTCGCTAGCGCGATCAGACCTAAACGAAAGAAGATGACTCGAAGCACCAACTCGACGCATTGAGAGTATTGCGACGACTAGCAAACACGGCTTCGACTAGGAATCGCAACTCCGCATTAGGAATAGATAGGTCACCCACCCAAGTTGAAGACAACCAGTGAATCTGAGAGAGCACAAATCAAAGAACAATGGTGACAGTTCTAGGGTTTTGAATAAGAGAGTAATGGTGATGGCTCTGATACCATGTAAGTTTTCTGTATAAAACTGTATATTAGTCTTTAATTGATTGAACAAAGAATACACCATTTATATCGAACACTAATTCCTAATCCAATATAAATACATCAGTGATATAGAGAAGTCTAATAGATATATGACACTAATTCCTAATCCTATAAGGAAAAAGGAGAACACATTCTCATGGAAATAACCCTACGCAATCAATCAAATATTCACAATCAACCCATGTAAGTTTTTTTGAATGCTCTGTATATTAAACTTGTACATAATACAACGATTATAACCAATATTTATTGCAATCCTAAACCTAATCTATAATAGGAAATAACTCTATACAATCAATCGAATATTCACAATCAAGCTAATTGATATATTTCCATAATTACATAATATTCTCACTGTCTGAAATACCTCTATGTCCTCAACCTGTCATACAATGCCCTCACTGGTGATATTCCATCATCACTTGGAAATTTGACACAACTTGGATCATTAGACCTCTCATGGAACAAGCCAAGTGGAAGCATCCTGGTAAGGTTTCTTACATTTCTTTCATCCCTGAACCTATCATATAATCAACTGGTTGGAAGGATCCAACAGGCTCTCAATTTCAAACATTTTCAAAAACTTCCTTCGAAGGAAACATAGGATTATGTAGGCTTCCTTTGAACAGTAGTTGTAGTGATGTTCAAATGCCAGCAGGAGTCTTGCCATCAACACCTGATGAAGATGGACATTTAGATTTTGACCCTGGAATCTATATAAGTGTTGCAGTCGGATTTGTTGTTGGGTAGGAAGCTTCATTGGGGCACTTGCTTTATGTAAAATGGTACTACAAACATGTTAATCAAGTTCTTGAGAAGATTTTCCATCTGGAAGAAAGACGATGATGAAGAAATCGTAGAAAACGAGCTTAGAGATCCCATTTGGAGACTTAGTGCTACTGGATTGTAACATGGAATGAATTTTCTCATTGCCTCCCTCTTTCTTTTGTCTATGAATGAGTTGAATTATTAATGACGGCAATGAGAGCATCAAATATAGATGCTTGTTTAAAATTTTCACCTAATTGTTGCATAAATATTTGTATGTTGATATTCAACGGTCGAGGATATCATTTGGCATTGTCGATGTAGTGCTGCCAACCAATGGCAAAGCGGAATTTGCAAGGTAGTTGAGAGACAAGAGATGACTTATCAAGTGTGTTTTGTCAGTCTTAATTTGTCAAGAGCATCACGTAAATATCATCATGTGATACTTCAAAACTACTTAATAATTTTTCAAAAACAAGTGATGGTGTTAAGTTCATTGGTTTATGGAAAGAATCAAACACTATAACAACAATCTCAATGGTAAAAATTAAAAGGGGGACTTACATGTAGATCCTAATAGGTGAACTTATTGTACAATAGGTCATGTAATTAATGGCATTTCTCATCCAACACTATTAAAAAAAGTCACTAATTGTTAACTTTCAGTGACAGTTTGAAAATTTTATCACAAAAATGTCACTAATTAAAAGTTTTAGCGACAATGTAAAAAAATCGTCACAAATAACTGTCACTAATTTTTAGCTTTCAGCAACAGTTTGAAAAATTTGTGACAGAAAAGCATCACTAATTATAAGTTTAAGCAACAATTTATAAAAATTGTGACAAAAAAAGGTCACTAATTGTCAATTTTTAGCAACATATACAAAAAATATCACAAAAACTTATTTTTAGCGAAGATTTTATTAGGACTAACTTTCAATAAGATTTAATAGGAATTAAATCTAACTATTAGGATCTATTAGTAATTTATTTTAAAATGACTTTGCTAAAGCTATTTTTTGCTTGTTATAGTGCAAAAAAGTCATTTTTTAAATATACCACTTCAATAGTTCACCTGCTATTTTGACAAAACCAATTCTCATATTCATTTTGGCCGTTGGATATACTCCTTAAAAAAGTCTGTTGTGATTATTGTTTAGTTTTGTTGTTGTGGCAAAAATGAAGAACGATTTTGAGATAGTAAAAAAATGGTTACATTCATTCATGTTTAACTTGTAACATATGAAGTGTTGAGGCTCTGTTTGGAACTTGGAAACTACGAAGAAAAAGGAAAAGAAATCAAAAGGATTTCATTCCTCCTTGTTTGGTTGGGTTTAAAACACTTTCTCATGCAACAGTTTTAATGGGGAGATACCAAAATATAGTCATATCCATCTGTGTTCTGAGTCTAAAAAATGGCCAACACTGGTAATTTGACAGCCTTGAGTCTCAGTTTGTGTAACAGGTTCAGGATCCCTTTGGGCAGAATGTATTGAGGTGTTTTGAGATTTGTGGTCCTATCATTATTATTATTATTTTCTTCAATTCTTTTATTAACTATTTTTATTAAATATTCACAATCAACCCATGTAAGTTTTTTTGAATGCTCTGTATATTAAACTTGTACATAATACAACGATTATAACCAATATTTATTGCAATCCTAAACCTAATCTATAATAGGAAATAACTCTATACAATCAATCGAATATTCACAATCAAGCTAATTGATATATTTCCATAATTACATAATATTCTCACTGTCTGAAATACCTCTATGTCCTCAACCTGTCATACAATGCCCTCACTGGTGATATTCCATCATCACTTGGAAATTTGACACAACTTGGATCATTAGACCTCTCATGGAACAAGCCAAGTGGAAGCATCCTGGTAAGGTTTCTTACATTTCTTTCATCCCTGAACCTATCATATAATCAACTGGTTGGAAGGATCCAACAGGCTCTCAATTTCAAACATTTTCAAAAACTTCCTTCGAAGGAAACATAGGATTATGTAGGCTTCCTTTGAACAGTAGTTGTAGTGATGTTCAAATGCCAGCAGGAGTCTTGCCATCAACACCTGATGAAGATGGACATTTAGATTTTGACCCTGGAATCTATATAAGTGCTGTAGCTCCAAAAGATTTTCTTGGCGAAGGGAATCGAAGGTAGTCAAATGTGAGAAATTAAAAGAATTAAACCCCCAGATCTCAAATCTCATCCACTCTGCCAAACTCTTGGGGTTTGGTGATGAAGTTAATTGGCTAGTTTCACAATATTTTTTGGGTGTATTTTTTACTTATACCATGATAGTATGATTTGTAAAAAATAAAAAAAATAAAAAATTAACTTTCTATGTTTGTTTTACCATTTTAATGCTAAGTAAACGGGGAATTTTAATTTTTTTAATCTTTTATGTTAAATATAGTAACTATGTATTTTATCTATCATACATATCATATTATATTCATTATCATATTTATAATTACCATGCTTAGGTATCTCTTCTAGTGCACTCCTCAAGCCGCCTCCTCTAGCATACAATTGAAGTTGCCCCCTCTGGCGCACCACCAAAGTCGCCCTCTGGTGCACAATCCAAGCCACTCCCTCTGGCGCACTTTCTCATATGTCGTCATTTGGCACATTACCCAAGTCACCTTCTCTAGCGCACATTACCCAAGTCACCTTCTCTAGCGCACATTACCCAAGTCACCTTCTCTAGCGCACAACCCAAGTTGCCTTCTCTAGCGCACAACCCAAGCCGCCCCCTCTAGCGCACAATCCAAGTCGCCCCAAGGCGCACTTTTCTCATAATTTGCCCCCCATAGCGCACAATGTCATCATTGCCATCACCCTTCAGCGCTACGTCATAAGTTACGTGTGTGCCACGTTTTTTGGTTTAACATTCAGTTCTTCTTCATCGGTCGGACACGATCTTAAACTATCCCGGCCTTAGTTTCGGCCAATTTCTAAAGTAGTTTGGCACGATCTTAAATTGTCCCGGTATTAGTTTCGGCTAGTTTCTACAATGGTCTGGCATGATCTTAAACTATCCTAGCATTAGTTCCAGCAAGTTCCTACAATGGTCCAACACGATCATAAATTGTCTCCCAACATTAGCTCTGGCCTCTGATCTATCTCAAGCGCCCTTGCGTTCCCATTCAGACTTTGCAATCTATTTTCCTTTTATTTTATTTTTTAGTTTTATTTCATAGTTTCTCTCTCCAAACCTAAGTGGTATCCCTACCTGAGTTTGAGGGATGTTCAATATGATAACTATACATTCTGTCTATCATACATATCATATTATATTCATTGCCATACTTAGTTTCTCTCTGCCTATATAAAGGAGTCTTGTATACATTGTTACATAATTATTTAACACAATATTGAATATACACATAATATAATATTCTCTCTCTCTCTCTCTCTCTCTCTCTCTCTTAAATATTGTAACATTTTATATGCTTTTCATCACTTTTCATCTTAAATCAAATTCAATCTTAAGTTCTAATTTCAAGTTTCTTTCAAGATTATTAACTTGTTTGCAATAGCTAGGTAATGCAAATTAGTAATAGAAATGTTATTCAAACATAATTTTGGCTAGAGATTCTATTTATATGAGTACTCATTTAATTTAAATAGTCTATCTATACATAGTATCCTCATATAGTGACCATTAAATCCCTAGAAGAGTGAAAGACAATATAAGAGATTAAAAAAAGAATTAGACTAATGAATTAGATTACAAAATTTATTTGTTAATCATTCTTCATAATATTAGACCAATCCAAATATGAGATATAATATATGATAATCTGAAGATTAATAGTCCTATAAGTGTTATATCATCTAATCTAATTCATTTAAATAAACATGACCTAAAGACTTGTAACCTCTACACCTAGTCTGCGCTCCACAATTCAATAGTATTATCATGTAGAGTTATTTATGTACTGTGTCCCTAATTCAGTCATTTGTTTCAACATTCCTCTTAGCTTTAATTTGTTTCTAAGCATTTCACCAAATCTAAATCAAATGAAAGATAATGGCCATTTGTAGTGGTCCCACTGCCACCAGAATATGGAAAAAACTTGAGACCCTACGTACATGTTTGATTGAAAGGATTAAAGCATGGGATTAGGATTATTAATCCGTGGGCCCAATCATCCTATGTTTGTTTTGACTTTTGGTTTAGGATTATTAATCCAATGGATAATTAATCCAACAAATTTGTAGGATTATTGGTAATAGGGTAGGGGTGGGATAGCTAATACCACACTAATTTAATAGGATTATTAATACCTCACTATTAGTGTTGTGAATCAAACATGACCTAAAAACATGATCTCAATTTTGTGGATTATTTCATCTCATTTATTAATCGCTTCAAATCCAACTTCCAGCCGTATCGTTAAGGGTGAATTTAAGAGTCATGAATCTGGGGTTACTACCATTTCAACGAGGCTATTTGGCCAATGCCCACAGAAAATGAATACAATACCATTGTACCAACATGAAATTCTGGTGAAATTATACCTTATTGCTGATTAGTCTGTCTGTCCCCATCATTGTCCGACTACGCAAGACTTAGAACATTCAAAGTTGGTGCAAGCAACTTTAATCGTATTCTACGATTCGTATTCAACTTATTTCCGTACAGTTTTGTGTTGAGTCCATTCTGTCAAACAGTATAAGCCAATAACAATTTTGCCTTTTGTGAACTATATTTTGAGTCAAGTTCACATGCATGACTGAGAGGCCTCTTTTGTGCTATCTTAAAGCCACCACTCCAAACTTTAGCAATTAATTTCATTGTCATTTGTGAGCTTCACCATAAGCTAAAAATGAGAATTATTTTCATTACCTGGCTTTTCTCAATCACCATACTTACTATCCTCTGCATTAAAACCATTCCAGTCTATAGCCTATGTTTGGAGGATCAAAAATCTTTGTTGCTCCAATTGAAGAATAGCCTCAAATTCAATCCAGTTATTTCTGTCAGGTTAGTGAATTGGACTCCAATCAATGATTGTCGTGGTTGGAAGGGTGTGACTTGTGATCAAGCGGGTCATGTTACAGGTCTGAACCTGAACAGTGAATCAATCTCCGGTGGAGTCAACCAGTCAAGCAGTCTTTTCAGACTCCAGTTTCTTGAGTGCCTGAATTTGGCCAACAATAGCTTCATCTTCACGCAAATTCCATCCAGTTTCGGCTGCCTCACTAGCCTGAAATATCTGAATTTGTCAAATGCTGGTTTTTCTGGGCAGATTCCAATTGAATTGTCGCTCATGATAAGGTTGGTTACTCTTGATCTATCTACTCTTTACTTCCCTGGAATTCAGTCACTGCAACTTCAGAACCCAAATTTATCACAGCCAAGGGGAGTGAGTGGTGTCAGGCAATTTCATCTTCACTGCCTAATCTACGAGTTTTGAGCCTGTCCAATTGTAATCTTTCTGGCACTATTGATTCTTCTCTTCTGAAGCTTCAATCTCTTTCTGAAATCCATCTGGGTTCGAACAATTACTCTGCTCCAGTTCCGGAGTTCTTTGCCAATTTCAGAAATTTGACAGTCTTGAGTCTTAATTCTTCTAACTTGAAAGGACAATTTCCAGAAAAGATTTTCCAGATACCAACATTGCAAACTCTGGACTTGACAAACAACGGATTACTTGATGGTTCTTTGCCAGAGGTTGGACAAATTGGATCCCTTCAGAGGCTTCTGCTTAGCAACACGATTTTTTCAGGCAAATTACCAAATTCTATTGGTAACCTCAGAAATCTGTCCAGGGTAGATCTTTCATTCTGCGATTTCAGCGGAACCATTCCAAATTCAATCCTCAGTCATCTTGTTTATTTGGACTTGTCATCTAACAACTTTAGTGGTCCAATCCCATCCTTTCATATGTCCAAGAATCTCACCTATATAGACCTCTCTCATAATGCTCTATCGGGTCCAGTTCCTTCTTGTTACTTTGAAGGCCTTTTAAATCTTGTATATATTGATTTAGCTTATAATTCATTCGATGGACGTGTTCCCTCATCTCTTTTTTTCCTTCCATCCCTGCAGAAATTTCTGCTTTCCAACAACCAATTTGGTGGTCAAGTTGCCGTATTTCCAAATGGATCCTTGTCTCCATTGGATACACTAGATTTGAGTAGTAACAAACTGCAAGGGCCTATTCGCACATATTTCTTTGATTTTGGAAGTCTTGATATCCTCTCACTTTCTTTCAACAACTTCAGTGGCACCATAAAGCTTGAATGGTTTCAAAGGCTGCAAAATCTTACGAGACTTGACCTTTCGTACAACAACCTGTCAATCAGTACAAGTGAGAGTAATTCTAGCTTGACTTCATTTCCCCAGCTCAGCACATTAAGATTGGCTTCTTGCAAGCTGCAAGAATTTCCTCCACTACTGAACTGGTCAAGAATGGTCTATTTAGACCTTTCAGACAACCAAATTTCTGGGGAAATACCTAATTGGATTTGGAATGTTGGCAATGGAACTCTAATGTATTTGAATCTTTCTTATAATCTCCTAGTGGGTATGCAGAGACCCTATACTATTATTCCTAGTCTTTTTGTTCCTGATCTCCATTCCAATCAACTCTATGGTGAGATCCCAATACCACCAGAATCAGCTGTCTATGTGGACTACTCAAGCAACAATTTCAATTCTTCTATCCCTCTAGAACTTGGCAACAACCTAACATCTTCTGTTTTCTTTTCTCTTTCAAATAATAACCTCACTGGTGTCATCCCTCAATCAATATGTGACTCAAGCAACCTTCAACTTCTTGATTTGTCCAATAATAGATTCAGTGACACTATACCACAATGTTTGATTGAAAATTGTACTACAACTCTTGGGGTACTGAAATTACGCAATAACAGTCTTACTGGTAATGTTTTGGGGACATTCCCCATAAGTTGCTCTTTAGTGACACTGGACTTTGATGGGAATCACTTGGAAGGACATGTTCCAGAATCTCTAGCCAATTGTACAAAGTTGGAGGTTTTAAATCTTGGTAACAACTACATAAATGATATCTTCCCTTGCTTCTTGAAGAGCTCATCGCTTTTGCGTGTACTGGATTTGCGATCCAATAGGTTCCAAGGAGGCATTCAATGTGGAGAGGACCATAATAATAGCTGGCCTAAGCTTCAAATTATTGACCTAGCTTTGAACAACTTCAGTGGTCCTCTGCCAAATAAATGCTTCTTATCTTGGAAGGCAATGATGGTTGATGGGGGTAATGCACAACCAATTTACAATCAGCAGCATTATGAGTTCCTGACGGTTAACCACTTCTTCTACAAGGGTACAGTGACAGTTACCATCAAAGGATACAGATAGAGCTGGTGAAGATCTCCACTGGATTTACCTCCATTGATTTCTCAAACAATTGTTTTCAAGGAGAGATACCAGATACAATTGGGGATTTGAAATACCTCTATGGTCTCAACCTATCACACAATTCCCTCACAGGTCAAATTCCATCATCACTTGGAAACTTGACACAGCTAGAATCATTAGACCTCTCATGGAACAAGCTAAGTGGAAGCATTCCAGTGCAACTTGCAAGTCTTACATTTCTTTCATTCTTGAACCTGTCATACAATCAACTGGTTGGAATGATCCCAAGAGGCTCCCAAATTCAAACATTTCCAGAATCTTCATTTGAAGGAAACAAAGGATTACGTTGGTTTCCTTTGAACCCTAGTCGCGGTGAAGCTGAATCGATAGGATTGCCTACACCAACAATTAATGATAGACATTCATACTCTTGTGAATCTCACATTAATTGGGTGAACATAAGCGCTACATTAGGATTTAGCGTGGGCTTTGGAGTTGTTATTGGGCCACTTGTGTATTGCGAAAGATGGAGAAAATGCTACTACAAGAATGTTGATAAAGGTATTTTCATGATTCTATGTCTGCAAGGCCTACGAGAAAAACCTGCACGAATAGTTCAGTGGTAAAGTGGTTTATCTTGGGACGAACAATAAACCTTGTCTGTTGTCCTTGGTTTGATTTTTACTAGTGTTATGCCTAGTTTTACTTAATATACATGATTGCAGGTAACTGAGTTTTTTTTATTCTTATTTTTTTATAAGGGTGGATTCAATGTGATGCTATATACATTGGTGAGTTTCATGTTAGAGATTACATAAATCTGATTTGAAGAAATCATCACTGCTGAAGAAAAGTGTTGAAAGCAGAATGCGTTGGCTCAATTTGTTTTCAATGCAAAGGCAAAGAAGCAAAAAAATGTGTCAAATTGTCAATGCCTTTGGGTAAACCAGCATATACTATTGCATGATAGTTGTATGTGACTAACTTTTGGATAATGTTAAGCTTGCATATTTAAGGGGTGGGTATAGAGCGGGTTGGATTGCGCTTGCACTACATACTGAAGATATATGTGCCATCCTAGGCTTGGTCTATCCTGATATTGGGCTTTATCTAGTCATCCCAAGCACAACTTCAAAAGGCTTTTTAAATTCTAAACATGTCTACTTAACTCAATATATACGGGCTATTAATTTTCTTTCTTTTTTTTTCTTTTTTTGAGTCTAGTATTAAATTAATTGGACCATTTAATAATTATTTAAATTTAGGTCATTATCAAATAACCAAACCAAACCAAACCAAACTAAACTTTAAGTCTCATCAAATGGGTTGATTACATAAATTCTTCTTCTCCACTTATTTCTATTGGCAACCGTTTGGTTAGTTTTAAGGGGAACAACTTAGTATTTAATCGATTTAATTTTCATAAGAGATCTAAGCAGCTATTTTTTACGTGTTGGCTATTGGCTATCTAACACACAATCCTGCTCCTTTACCTGGCCTTGAGACCGGCAGAGTTGTTAAACAATCCTGGCGGAGTTAGGTCATTACCAAATCTAATAGTAAAATGAATTTGGCCTTTTTAACAAATGTTTGAATTGGCCTTTCAAGAAATATTTAAATTTAAACCACACAATGAAGCATAATATATATCTTGTCTTTTAGTATTTTTCTAGTTTTTTATGTAATAAATATTTTATAAATGGGCAGGCCAGGTCAAGTTGGGTTACAATTTCTTGTCCCAAGTCAACCTGAAAGTTAAAACGGTTTCAAAATCTCAACTCACCTTGATCCCATGGGCCAAATATCCCAAACCCTAATAATATCAGATAAAATTGATGGGGTTTGGCAGGCCTCGCACCCATGGTAACTAGCTAGATGAGTGAAATGAAGATTATTGGTATATGATGTCATGGTAATGACAATTTGACTCGTTTTTTGCACTATTGATGTATGATTTGCATTCCATAGCTTTCCCAATAGCCAACAAATTAACCATATCCTACGCAGTGATGCCGATAAGAATAGGCCGGCTTTAGTTTTCTTACAGTAATAATTCTGAATAGATGAAAGTTGAGTGCAGCAGAGGCAGAATGTATTGAGGTGTTTGACAGTTGTGTCCCTTTTATTATTTTTTCTTTAGTTATTTTGTTAACTACTTTTATTAACTAAAATAAATAAATTTACTCCCAACCCCCCCCCCCCCCCCCCACCAAAAAAAAAAAAGAATTGTATGATAATGTCCTGGAAAGAGTTACACAAAGACATAACCAGTTGTCATTTTATTTGTTTTTTGATGTTATTTACATTGTACAAGATGGAGAAATTGGTACTGCAAACATGTTGATAAAGGATCTCTTCAATCAAGAAGACTGAAGAAGGAAGAGTTCACAAAATTTTGATTCAAAGAATTTACGTTTGGTGAAAAGAATATCACGATTCAAGAGTACACTTGTTTTTCAAATTTTGAACTTGTGTAAGGAAAAATAAAATAGAAGGGAAAAGGGAAATACTCTAATTTTTGTATCTCTATGTACAAATTGTGTTGAGTTACCATCAATTACATGCCTCAATCTTGGGTGAAATTATTTGTAGTTCCAATGTGGCTATGCCATGTTTCTCGAATGAAAATGATGTGGCTCACCACGTGGCGCTTTTCCTTTTCTTTTTTTTTTTTTTCATTCTTTGATCCCTTTCCCATTCTGTACTCCAATCATTCTTCAAATGCATTTTCTCATTGCTGAACAAAAGCAGATTATGAAAGGTTGAGTCACAATTAGCGGAAAAGCACACACTGATTGCAATTGCAGTCCAATGAGAATTGGAGTCTCTTTATAGCTTTTGTTTTTTCTTGATTTCGTTTGTCTCAATAAAGAAGATTGGTATTATTTCCTAGTAAATACAGACCATTGACCAATGACGTAGTCTATACTTCAGAATTCCCGAGTACATTTTGTTTGGTTGAATTTTCACAATATATTTTTAAAAAAAAATTCTTCTTTAAAAATATAAAATTAAATTTGATGAAAATAAGCTTTAATTTTTTTTTATTTTTTTAAAAATTATTTTTACTCTAAAAAAGAAAACCATATGAAAATGATGAGATTTTATTTTTATTTTTATTTTTATTTTTCACCAAATTAGTTTTTAGTTTTTTGTAATAAAAAATTCAACCAAACACTATGGTCACAAGAAGCTTCCATTCCCACTGGCAAATAAGTTGAATTTTAGTAATGGATGGAACAATAATGATAAGAACGAAGAAAAAAATAAGACAAAAAGAAAAGAAAAGAAAAGAAAAGTAGTACACAGAAAATGAAATGTGTGATCCAATCAATAGTAGATTTGAATCAGCAATGGATTGGATCAAAAGGGACCCCAGAGACGGCTAGAATTCCAAGTCTTGGTCTTGCGAGTAAAATGATAGGTAGTAAATTACCATGGGACCTTTAGAAAAGAGTGTCATATATCACTTATTTTTTTACTGTTTTATATCACCAAGATACATAATAGGATATTATTTATTTATGGCCTTGTTAACCCGCTAATATCTTACCAAGTGTAAATTAAATATAAGAAAAAAGTGTGACTCAACATTTAAGTACTGTTTGGATGAATGAATTTAAGGTTAAATTTTATAAAATATATGAGATTAAACAAGTAATATTATAGGCTGTGGACTAGGAAACAAAAAAGGGAAATTTGGCTATAAACCCCCTTTATCTTCCTTTCATTGTTAAAAGGATTAAAAAAAAAATTATACTTTCTAAACCCCTTCATAATTATAAAGTTTTACATAAAGGACAAATTTATTATTTAAATATTTTATATGACTATTATACCCACTCTCTTCCCCACTCTCTTCCTTTCCACAGATGGCCTCTTCAAGAAGACCAGCGAGCTCTGCAACTTATGCGGCACCGAAGCCGCCGTCATCACCTTCTCCAACGCCGGCAACACCTTCACCTTCGGCAACCCCTCCATCGACTCCGTCCTCGACCGTTACCTCTCCATAACTTCATCATCCTCCAGAGCCTCTGCAAGCTTCTCTTCCCTATTTCGATATAGGGTTTCAACTCAAATCTGTGCACCATGAACGATTCCGATCACTAATCTCCTAAGATATATATATATATATATATATACATATATGTGTGTGTGTGTGTGTGCGCTTGTGTGTTTTGATATTTGAATTCGAATATATGTATTTTGAGATTTGAATTCGAATATATATATATGTGTGTTTGTATGTTTTGAAATTTGAATTCGAATATATAAATTTTTGAAAGCTCAAAGTTTTAAAAATTTGAAATATCTGAAATATCTGAAGAACCGGGGTATGAAAAATTGATATTTCTCTAAAATTTTCAGATTATAAGCATGATTCAATGTTTTTCAAAGTAAACATCGATTGATTCAAGGATTATAGGCCTAATTCAAAGCTCATAACTCAAAGTTTCATCGATTTTTCAGAGTAAACATCAAATTTCATTTGATAGAACCAGAGTAAAATCTTACTCTGGTTCTATTGCTCTATTTTTTTCATTTGACAGAACCAGAGTAAAATTTTACTTTTAGCTTCAAAGTCTTACAGTTTACTTATTTTTCAGAGTAAAATTTTACTTTTATACAGAATAAAATTTTACTTTTAGTTTCAGAGTGTAAAATTTTACTCTCATTCAGAGTAAAATTTTACTCTGAAATACATAGTGAAAATGTAGAGAGAATGATGTAGAGTAAAATTTTACTTTTAGTTTCAGAGTCTTACAGTTTACTTATTTTTCAGAGTGAAATTTTACTTTTATACAGAGTAAAATTTTACTTTTAGTTTCAGAATGTAAAATTTTACTCTCATTCAGAGTAAAATTTTACTTGCATACAGAGTAAAATTTTACTCTGAAATACATAGTAAAAATGTTTTAATAAGAGAGTTGATAGATATGAGGGTAATATAGTAAAAGAAACAAGTTTTAAAATATCAGGGAGTTTTGAAAGTACTTATATAATTCTTATCCTTTTGAAAGAGAAATTAAATAGTGAGAGGGCTATGACCAAATCCCCCAACAAATAATTAGAGATAGAAGGTAAGTATTTTATATGCTAACAACCGTTATACCATAAATCTTTTCCTGTAAAAAAACAGCCCATTCCAGGCTGTTTTTTTTTTTTTTTTTTTTTTTTTTTTTTTTTTTTTTTATCTCTTCAATGATCTTCAGTTAAAAAAATGCCACAATGGCAAAACAGGAGCCAAACAGGAGTCAACCTGTCTACACATTATGGTCAACTAAAAAAAAAGACTGACAGTTAGAAAGGTATCCTCTCCTTAAAGAGCCGCCACTCCCAACTTTAGCCATTCAATTCCTTGTCATTGGTGTTCTCTACCATAAACTAAAAACGAGAATCACAATTTTTAGCTGTCTTTTCTCAATCACTATACCCACTATCTTATGCATTAGCACCATTCCTGTCCACAGCCAATTAAAGAACAATCTCAAATTCAATTTTTTAGTTTTTGTCAGATTGGTGAATTGGACTCAATGCAATGATTGTTATGATTGGAAGGGTATAGGGGTGTAAATTTAGTCCGTATTCTGTGGACAGTTTAAAGCCTGCTCATGATTTGGAGTGG